GATATAACATTCATAATACATAACAATAGGTCGCGACGACTGCGCAAATACACTACAAAAGGACACATTTATTACTCATTCACACATTCGCATATATGTATATAATGTTCACATACATATAGATATAGATATATATATATATACTCAATTGTATCTCAAAAGGGATATAAAGCCATTTAAGTTTTCAAAACCTTTGCATCCACAGCTCCAACAAATTGTTACATTTTTATGTGGGCGCTGTCGATGTAGAAATGTGTGTGTGTTGTTTATGTGTGTGCATGTATTCCAACATATGGCCAAAAACAAAAAAACGCAAACACATATCGAAAGTGTATATATAACATACATATATGCAACTTCTGGAAGAACCATTTAACAGACTTTCGCCTAGTCTAAAAGACTATATAAAAACGTTTCTTCTTATTATTGTGTGACAATTAAAATTCTGGATTTGTTGTAATATATATTTTTTGTGTATTTCTTTAATCTTGTATTGTTTGCTTTTAGTATAATTGGATTAAAATCAACATAATTAGCATAATTAAATATACATTCATATAATTCTTGTAAACCTAAACAAAATAATTGCCTTTCTTAAAACTCTCTCTTTCTCTTTCTCTCTAACTTCCTCTGCCCTATTCTTTGCTCGTTCTCTAAAATTAAAAATATTTCCAAAATACTTGCATTTAAAATTTTTTTTCTCTTTTAAATTATATCGACAATTCTTTCAGGTGTCTACAGACAAAAGCAAAGGCACGAATCAACGTTAAATAATTTCAACAAAACAACAAAACGAATAAACCAAAAAACAAACCAAAATTTTATTGTAGACATGTATTGCGTTGTATTTTGACGAACATTCAATTTAGTTTAATTCCTTGTTTTTTTTTTGTTGTTGTTGTTTGATAATAGAGCTTAAGTCTACATATGTGTGTGTGGGTGTGGTTGTGGGTGTGGATGGGAGGTGTGTGGCTGATGCTTATGTCCAAATGTTTATTCAGAGGGAGGTTTTCAATTGTTTTGTTTGTCTGGTTTTTCCGCTTTGCCGGCTTTCTGTTTTTCTCACTGATTACATCTACTACATAATTTAGTTACCTCTTGTTTAATAATATATAATAATATAAAAACTAAATAATTAATACGTTTCAACGCATATAGCAATTTTCCTTCTTGCTCACAGACATTTGTTATTGTTTTTCTTTTTTTTTTTATTTATTTATTTATTTTTTTTTTGTTTGGGTGTTTTTTTCTGGAGTTTAGGTTAGGCTCTTCGTGTGTAAATTTTTTCTCGTCTTTGTGTTTCTATGCGATTATATGATTTTTCGTTTTGCTTTTGTTTTGTTGTTGTTTATATTTATTATTATTTGTTTAGACACACGTTAGATTTTGATATCATTCTCAGGTTGTTTGTTATAGTAGTAGTAGTACACATACATATATATATATATTTTATATTATCAATTAATTAAATAGGTAGGCTTCGCTCCCCATCGAGAACGCGTTCTCAACACAAATTCACTTAAACAAATGCCCAGCATTCGAGTGTTTTGATAACAAAGTCTTCTTGTGGCGCTAACGGCTCATTGCCGTATGTGCTGCAATGCTGTGATCGGCCCTGGTTCAGATCTCCGTCCAGCCAGAGTCCAAAGCGTCCACTGCAAGTTAGAGGGAGAAAGAAGGAGAAAGGCATAATTAGTACATACTAGCAGAACTCAACATGTCTCTGTGTATGTGTATGTGAGCAGTGAGTGAGTGCATAGACAATATAAATTTCAGAGCGTGTGTATTTCCTGTTCGTTTTTCGCTCTTAAGCCGAGCTTCGGCTTCGCTGCTCAAAAGACACACGAACGAGGGCCGAAGAGGCCAAATAAGTCGCTTGCCCATCTGCAGGCAATATAAATTCTCTTTGCACTTTGCTTATACATATGCATGCCCATGTATATATGTCTACGTGTATGCCGGTATGCGAGTACTTCTGTTAGCTTGTTTACATACATACACATACATAGCTATATTGTATGTTAATTTATGAGTTGCATTGGCCGCCTCTTCAATCATTTACCAAGTTGAGATTAAGAGAGAGAGGGATATTTTGCGCTCTTGAAGGTGTGACTTGTTCTTGCCGTTACTCTCCGTGATGTTTACATTGTCTTTGCAATGCTTATGCTTATGTGTGTGTGCGTGTGTATGCGTGTTTACTTACTCGCCAGCGCCAATTGACAGGCTCTCCATGTTGCCCTTGATGAAGTACATATTCTCACCAGTCCAATGGAATACTTTGAAGCTGGGGTTAAATTTGTAAAGCAGGGATTCGCCGGTGCCATAGAAATGATCGGACACATGCAGCGCACAAGAGGTCAGAGCACCAAATACCTGCAAATAGAATATCAACAATTTGTATTAGGTATTAAATAACATTGGTCAATTGAAATTTAACTGTTACTCACATTGTGCTCCGTATCCTCTATGACAATTAAAACAGGACTCTCCAGGCGCGCCATTTTGCGGTATAGCGAATTAAGGGCGAAACCATGTTGGGATGTGCTAAAGATCAGGGACCAGGAATAGCCCTCGGCGCGCGCCGGCAAATGGGCGCACAGTTTCTCACTGTGGTAAATGATATAAATAAATTAATAAATCGATTTGCCAATTTCAAATCGAGTTCTTCACACTTACCGATGCTCCTCGGTGAGTATCTCTGTTTTGCCAATTAGATCTGGTATGGGGAAGTCCAGGTCGAAGGAACTAGTTGCAAAGAGTGAGGTCTTGCGATATTCATCTTGGCTCATAGACAGCACCTGGAGAACGATCGAATTAGAGGAGATTAGCACAAGGTTCGTTTCATATAATATTCAATAAGAAACTAATACAAAACAAAAATACATATAAAACAAAGACCAAAACAGACCAAAAACTGGGCTGATTTCAAATATAATATACATCATTTTTATTTTTTAATATTTGGATAGGGTGTAGCATAACTTGAAAAATCTGGTGCAGTAACTAAGAAATTGTTTTTTTGTCAGTGGTTCGTTGATTGGATCAGAGTTTGTTATATATATATGCATATTGATATATCTTTTGTAGAATATATCTTGTTGTAGCTTAGTATTTGTTGTTGTGTTATAATTTTCAATATTTGCAAACTACAACGGAAATGCTCAAATTATAAATACACTGAGAGAAAACGATGTAAGTGTGATATATGTTTCTTATATTACAGATGACATTTGGTAATAGCTGAGCGTTATGATTCAAGATGAAGTTTGGCAACAGCGCACACAAATTCCCTATTTAGTTTCCCTTAACGTATTAATATTCGAGGTGATATAACTGTATGATGTATATGAGTGAAATTTGGCAACATCCGAGCGTGATTTTATTTCTTGATAATGTTAGTAATTTTCCCCTCTCCTTTGCAATGAAATTCGACAAGAGAGCGCATAAATTTAGCGTTTCATTTTTATTTTGCCTAAACAAATATAAATTTCATACGATATAAAATCTAGAGACAATTTTGGGACGGGAATCTTATTAGTGCGTCAATATTCTATCTATTTTCAATCTGCAGTGAATTTTGTGTTAATTTATTGAATTTAGAACAATTTTGTAAGAACCACCCGACTGCTCTAGCTGAAAGCTCTTTCTGCTATTGGCGTTCATATTGTTCAGTTCGATGTTGAGCTAAGAAGGGAGAAATACTGCCCCTTCCACTGTTTCCCTTTAGACGTGCATGCGCTGCTCTGCAAAGTGGGCGTGGCCGTTGCGCCTGTCGTAGACACTGCCCAAACGCCGCACAGCCGACTCCTTGGTATACTCCCTTGGCATCTGAACATCATTTTGCAAGCTGTCGCTCGTGTAATTTTCATCTGATATCTGGGGTTCGCGCATCTCGCCCATTCGTATATTCCGGCCATGTGGCATCTCGCACACCTGTCGCAGGTGCTGCTCATAGTTGGAATGAGTTGGCCTGCTCCAGTTGGAGCCACTGTTGTCGCTCTTATATCTCATTGACTTATCCCTTCGGTTGGGCACGTTCAGTTTGCCGCTCTTGGACATGGTCTGGCTCAGCTTCTTGAAGAGTTTCTTCTGGGCCCTCGCCTTGGGCGTAACATGCTTTGATTTCCCTGCACTCGACTTGGACTTGCCATCCGGCTTGTACATGCACCTGGCCGATAACGGCCGGTTGGTCAATGTCTTGCCCGGCGTTGTGGGCGCGGGTGACTCTGTCTCGTTCTTTGGCTTAGACTGCTCCAGCAGCGACACCGGCTGCACAGCATTCCTGGTAATCATTGGACGCGCTTCCTTGCTGCGTGCCTCGACCTGGTTACGATAGCCCTCGTACCGCTTGTTGTAGACGCGCTGCGAGGCACTCATCAGATTCGACTCAATCTTCGTCTGGTAGTGCTGATCGTCCATGCGGTTGCTACTGGCGTACGCAAGAGCCGCTGCCTCCTCGCGTTCCCGTTGGCGTTCGCGCTCGCTCGCGATGGCGTTGCGTTCCTCTGCCAACTGCTTGTAGTAAGCCAGTTTCTCGGCATCGCTATCCGTTGGCATGGGCGACTCTGCGGCCAGCGCGCTCTGGTACTGCAGGTTGCGGTTCTTCTTGTCGGAGCTGGCATAGAGTTCGCTCAGCTTGGCCTTTAGCTTGCGACTCTTCCGTTTGCCCTCCTGCTCCTCCTGGGGCTGATCGCTTGACCTGCGTCGCATGGGTGTGGCCGCCCTTTCGGATTGCTCCTCGTCAGCTACGTCAACTGTGTCTTCGGTCGCCGGCTTGGCCGCACGCTGCTGCTTCCAGATCTTGAACGGATTGTAGCGCAGCGGATGCTGCTGATAGTTTTGCTGATTTATCCTCAGCTGCATTTGCTTTTGCTGCACTTGCTGTCGCTGGCGCTGCGCCTCCTGCTCACTCTGTTCGGCCAGCAAGTCCGGCTTGTTGCGGGCACAGCTGATGAGCCGCTTCGTTGTCAGATCGACGTCCATCAGCTCCGACTGGATGGAGCGACTAATGTCCTTGGCCATCTCACCTTTCCGCCTGTCGTACATGTGGCCAAGCTGGCTATAGCGCTGCTGCACCACCGAGCCCTGCGGCAACGCTCTCGGCTGGTAGCTGGTGTGGGAAAAGCGACGACGCTGCAGCTGGGGCAACTGCCTCGAGGCGAGGTGCATGGCGCTGCTGCTGGCCAGGCTGCTCTTCGAGGAGAAGAGACGCGTCTGGCCGTAGATTCTGTACTTGGAGCTGTTGTTCTTCTGCGACAGGAGCAAGCTCTGCGACCTGACGTGCGGCCGTATCCTCTGCACCATGCCCTGCATCTGATTGACCAGCGTCTTCTTCACGCCAATCACCTTGCTCAAGTGGCCAGCGCGCGCAGCCTTATTCGCCGGCGGGCTACTCAACTCCACGGGCTTCTTTTCCAAGGAGGCGCCCTTCTGCCGCAGCAGCGCCGCATTTGTCGCTCCTGACCTCATGCAGAGTTTGCGCACCGAGTTGAGCGCATTGTGGGCGCAGCTGCTCTGCAAGGCCACCTGGCCCAGGTTGAATCTCTTTGTGCTGCTCATATTGCGGCTGGTGCTGGTTATCTGATCTGCTAGTTTTCTCTTCCTGTTCTGGGGAGACGAACTACGCGCTGTGTGTCTGCCTTAGAATACCTTCAATTTAGACAACGTCTTTCGAAACAATTACTAAACTCTCTTGGGATAGACACACAAACAACAAATTACACATGAATCGGGGAAAAAAAAATAAAAGTTTTCAAGAACTGTGCTCTATGTAGCTGACTATAAAACTGTTACACTAACTGTCACAAAATTCTGCTACAGATATATCAAAGACTCGCCTACTTGAGCAGCGACCCTCATCAACACTCTCCCTCTGCGAAAGTCAATGGACTTGCGCTCTCTCTCTCTCTCTCTCTGTAGAGAATCTCCCTCCGTCTGATGTCAGCAAAATGACGTCCATTGCTGCTAAATGATTATATTGATTAATTGTACAAAATGCGTATTATCTGTATCTGTAAAGTTTATTATGTTTTACACTAAGACAATCCCCCTGGATGCTAACGCTTTTTGTTTGAATAAGTAAACAAAGTTTGATGATGTCAAGTGTTAATTATACCGGTTTTGGCATAGCACAAAACCCGACTCAATAATTTGCAAAATATATTTCGCAATGGACTCGATGCGCTTTCCATGAACTCTCAACAAGTTATTAAAGCCGAAGCCAAAGCCGAAGCCGAAGCTGAGCGTGCCTCAACTATTTAGCAGTTGGCTCAAAACGGTGTCTGTCTGCATGTCTGGCCTGGTCCGGGTCTGGGCCTGGGTCTGGAATCACTCCAAAATCATATGATGACCAATTCAAGATCTTTCTCGATGAGCTCTGAGAGTCTGCTATGGCACCTGACACTGATTCAATGTGAGCCAAATTGATCCTTGACTCCAAGAGTTTGGCTTTGAAGCGTACTTGTTTAGCCAGCATACAAAAATCAATTGTGCTTCAGCCTGTTCTCTTGGTTAAACTACATGAATTGCATAAACTTATGCAATTGACCTTTAAAAGAGCTCAACATTAAGCTACATACATACATACATATATTTTATATTAGATATATATATGATTTCAGTTAAAATATATATGAATCATTGACTCAGCTGAAGGTGAGAGCTTTAGCGCTCTAAATATGTTAATTGTTTAAATTGAAGTTGAGGTTTGGGATTTTCATAAGAAAACCTAATCAATAAAAACCCGAAATCTAAAAACTAAATTTTTTAAATGAAAAATATTTTATTGCTTACATTAAAAATATATATATTTTTTAAATGTATATACTAAACTAAAAAAAAAATCAAAATTACCTATTGCCCATTTTTAAAAAATTTTTCATTCGGTTAATAATTTTTTTTTTTGGCATTTCAAATAAGCTCTTTAAATTTTTAAATCAATACAATTATAGACTTATCTTTTACATAGAAAAATCCAGAAGAGTTTGTCTCATTTTCTCTTTTGTATTTCACTATTTGGTCCATTGATCACATACACAAATTAGGGCTAAATACGAAAAACTCATTTATTTGTCAGGGGACTCGCAATTATATGGGACAGTCATCACAATTGAAGCGTGACAGTCAGTTGCAGGCAAATATAAATACTTGTATATATGCATTTATATATTCCTAAATTTATAAATATGATATATATGAAAGGTTGAGCGACAATCTAAGATGGTTTTTATATACATAAGCGAATCTCTGGCATTCACTGTCATCGACATTTGCCATACATATTTGACTCTCCATCTGTTCAATCTGTTAACCAGTTTTTGTTTGCAAGTCTGACTGAAACGTAGTACACTCCACACACACACACATACTATATATGATTCATATGCTTGTACGATATATACCTGACGATTGAGCATTCGCTCATGATTGACAATCAATTCGCACATTTTCATCTGTTTTGCTTAAATGGGCGATAAATTATGTTTAATTTGGTACACCCCGGCACGTGGTACATTTAATAATAATTCTATTTAACTACTCTCACTATATATATGTATATATATAGCGCGATTCAATTGTCGTCTGTAGCGCAACGCGTTCAAATGCCAACTGCCAACTCGCTATGGATCGGGCCTTTTATTGGTCGACGAAGCGTCGTCGTCTCTCAATTAACACACACAAAAAAAAAAAAAAAGCCTAACAAATGATTATTATTATTTTATTTATTTTAATTCGAGAGCGAAACTTTCAAGTTTGAGTTTGTTTCGAGTTGAGTTGAGTTGAGCCGAGTCGCGAGTTGAGTCGAGTTTGAATTCGTAACAAACCAAAATAATTGACATGAAGTTAATCAAGAAAATTACTTGCTGACGCTCTTTGTCTGTGGGTTAATACCCTGTACACGTAACAGGGTATATTGTCATCAGCTCTAATCATCAGATGATCTCTCATAAGTTCCTAATGATGTGTGCGACTCGGCTCAAACTCAGCTCCACTTGAAGTTTTATGATCATTTGATCTAAGCTTGAGCTAAAGTCTAGTTAGAATGACATCAGTTAAATTTAAGCACGTACAAATGTTTTCACTTATATTTAAATCCAGTTTCATGTTCAACTAATTCGTAATGCATAACTCGTAAAACCTCGCTCCAGCTGTTGTGGGCCATTCACTTAGTGCACTTAGAATAGAATCGAAATAAGATTTGCTCAAACTTAAGTCAGCTGAGCCTGGATTTTTCTCATTTGTGGAGTGGCCCAACAAGTTGCATGAAATCATTTGGGCATTGTTTATAAACAAAAGCGCCACAGCTTCTTTTGCTGCTGTCTGATAAGATAAGAGCTCCATGACTTTGTATAAACCAATTTTCTTTTTCAATTTACTTCAAGCACGATTTGACACAGAATTTCGGAACACTTTTTGGCTTAGCTCGTGGCTCAGGCTCAGACTCAGGAAAGGGAATGAATTGCATGTTGTTGTCGTACCTGGCGCTTGGCTTTGGGCGTCGCGGCAAACATGTTGCACAACGGCTGCGCATCAACTGGTTTGTCTTTATTGAGTTTCGAGCCAAAAGTCTGGGGCCAAAAAGCCAAGAAAGACGCCAAAGTAAAACGTGTGCAAAAGCATAAAAAAAATGTGTAGAACTCAACCCTAGAACCGGCAATTCGTAGCGATACGGAAAAAAAGTAATGCCAAACCGGCTGGGCAAACGAGTATATTGAGCCGGGTCTCTCAAGTAATGCGATACCCTATCATTCGACTCTCCAAAGGAATCAACAAAGCGGAACCGCCATAAAGAAAAGCCATGCGATACCATTTATAGAGCAGAGCAAAAAGAAAAGGCTTCCCCTCGACTTAATTATTTGCATATGGAAAATACTCTAACCTCGCATGGTTATCTCAGCTATGGCTTAGACTTTTCAGTTTCTCATTACACTATGTATGCGTAGTGTTCCCAATTTCTTATCGACATACAATTTTCCTCTGTTTTCTTCATTTCTCAACTTATCACCGTTTCTTCGTCGCTTGCTTCGCTTCAGTTCACAAAGCGCAAATGAAATTTAATTTAGTTTTCGTTTATTTTCCCTCTGTTTGCCATATGTAAAAGTTTAACCATTTCCTGGCTGGTCCGAAATTCAATTAGTTGTCGTTCGTTATTAACACCTAAATGAGCAAACCCTTATTTTCGAAATACCTATTATAGGAAGGGAGCAGTATGTAGCGCATTGACCCACCACAATCAGCTAATGCCTTTGCCATTTGACAAGGCTGGACAAATTGAGTTCATTTAGCTCGAATGCCATTCACAGCTGTCTCTAGTACACACGAGTACACGTGTAATATTTTTACAATTTAATGATGATGAAATAATAGGAGCTGCTGCCAATTAGCTGGTATAACTTAATACGGGGCAGTCAAGCCAGATTTCTTATTTATAATGCATGCAGCATGTAAGTGCTGCCCATTTAGCTACAATATATGCATRCATACATAGTATATCATATACAATTCCAAATTCAAATCGGCTTTTGTTCTTTAAAGCTTTCTTTTGTTATAGTTGATTTTTATTTATTTTTTGTGCTCTACCCACTCACCGTTTCATGCATTTCACCGCTTTCGTCGAGCAATGCCTCCAAGCTCTGATCATCTTTGGTGGGCGAGAGCGGCGGTGTGGGCGAGCGATTCTTGACTGACAACATGGAGCGTGGCAGAAAGTGCCGGCCATAGTGCAGGTACAGGTAACGGCCCCATTTGCGACCGGCTACGCCGCCAACGGCGACAATTGCAAAGAGTCCCACAATGAACCACATGTTGTAAACAATAACAAAATTCGAGACTCTGTTTACAGTTAAAGCTCACATAGCACAATATTTTTGGACGGCAGTGTACGTAAAAGCTTTATCGCACTCAGGCACATTGCATGCGTTACGCTCTGACTTTTAGCACTCTTCGTGTCGCTCTCTCGCTCAGCTGCTTTGCTTTGGTCTTGTGACCCACGAGACTACAGCTTTATTTTTATCTTTTTTCTTTTTTCCTCGTGTGCGTTTTCTTGTTTGTGCTTCTGTGTTGTTGCCACAGCTTTTATCACTCTCTATGCCTTTCAATTGTTTTTCCAATATTGTCTTACACGGTAACAGCAAAATGTTAATGGTGTTTACATTGGCCACAGCACAACACATTAACTTTTTACAACATTTATGCCTATTTAGCCAATATTATAAATATATATATATATATATTATATGTACATATATGTGTACATCGATATATACAAATTTTGTTCGAGCCAAGCGTTACTCGCTTGCGGCTAACAAAACTGTGTGCGTGTTTGGAAAACAAGTTGCTGACTGACGGAATGAGCGCCGACTAGCGTACATGATGAAACAAAATAAAAGAACGAACAGGCGCACACAGTGGCCCAAAAGAAGTTGAATGAGAGCGCAAGCCACAGAGCAATAGACTGAGCGCGATTAAGTACTAAGAGCGTGTGCTAAGGCTCTCTTAGGTCATACCGATGCCGCTCTCTTAGCACAAGTTTGCTGTGAACATGCTATTTGCTAAGCAGTATGTACGAGGAGGGAGGCTTGCTACCGTTTATTAGTACTGCACACACACGCACACATATATATGTTGCCTGTGTGTGATTGTGTGTTGCTAGCAGCATGTTGCTAACACAACGTATACGCAACGTCGATGTACTTTTTCGACTATTGAATAGTGCAAATTGTGGGTTTATTGCCGGGCAGTTGTCGCCCTTAAGAGGCTGCCAATTAGTTCCTCAACAATTGGGGCATCATGAGTTGGCGGCAATTTAATTTAACTGTTTTTTTTTACCCATTACGTTTTGCTACACAGCGCATCATGTG